GTTTTGCTGTTGATGCTACATCACACAAGCTCAAACATAAGTTATTATAACATCTATGGGATTTGCCATCAATGTTTTGGTCTTGTTGGAAATTTTTATTTTGTCTAATTTAGAAATTCTTAAAATTCATTTAATTATTTACTTATTTTTTTTTTAATTCCAAGAAATCAGCTATTTCACTATAGAAAAGGTTGCAGGTATACTAAAATTATTACTACACGGACAACAATTGTTTATGGAACGATCACTCAAAGATTAAGAATATAGTATAGCTGTTTTAAATGAAAGAAAGTCATATAGCAAGGAAAATAATCTCCAAACCGTCAAAAAATCCGACACTTACCCGTTGTTAGGCCCTAACAATGTTTTGACAGAAGAAGCTAGGGGAAAAATAAAATGAGAAATTCACAAAAAAGTCTCTATTTGAAAATAATTTAAGAAAAAAATTTTCTCTACTTTGAAGATTAGTTGTTGGTTTCCGTACCAAGAGCTCTCGCTACGCTTAGATTGCTGTTATTTCGAGTTACTCCGCCAAACTCATGTCCGTCCGCCATGTTTGTTTTGCTAAGCAGCCTGGCCAGATCAAGCAATCAAATCATCATATGACGAAACATTCAACATTTTTGCAAGATGGCAGCGGTGGGGATTCAAAGGTCCTTACCGCTTTTTCGACGCTATAGAGGTATTTGGCAAGTCAACAGGTAATGAGAAGTATTAAATTGACAGTGTAGGAATTTAATTGGTTTTCCTCTAGTAAAGTGTACAGATGGTGTTTTTTTTTTTTAATAAATGTAACCTTATCAGCGCTAACTTTTTTATCTTTAGGTCCTTGAGTATGTGTTGTTGCCGGCTTTCGCCCGGTATTGAAGTGGTTTCGAGGAGGAGGACAAATAGTGATCGAGAAGAGAACAAGCACAATTTAAATGTCATCCCAAGGAGAACGTTGATAGGATCTATGATTCCGAATCCCCTCAGTACGTCGCGGAGGAAAAAGTATTCCGAGAGGAGATTGCTTGGGTAAGTTAATTATGGTTCAATACTCTTAGTTTACACTATATTGATGATGATGATGATAGTTTATTAACACTTCTGGCAGTTAAAAAACTGAATAAACAGTGTAATTTTACAAGGATATTAACAAGAATCTTACTAGCTACCAATTATAAAGTCTATTTACAATGATAAGTCTTAAGAATTAGAATAATTGTAGTAAGTATTACAATAATAGTTAAGTCTACGAATACCTAAAAGTAAAAAAGGCATTTGCTCCTTTTGTTCTTTTCATTGTTGTTGTGGCTTTGGTATTTCCTGATCTAAACTGATAAGGTATAGAACTTGTCATAGCTTGTGGAGCTAAGAAAGATATGCGGTGGTCTTCATTCCTCATTTCCGCCATCAACTTTTTACAAACGAGTATCCTACGATCTACTAACAATGACAATTTTGCCCGGTCTAGGGCTTGTTGATAACTGAAATTTTGGAATATAATTTTAAGGCTCTTTTTTGTATGGATTCAATAGCATCAGAGAGGTATGCGGGAATGTCTTGCCACACTTCTGCAGCATACTCTAGGACCGATCTGATAAATGTTACAAGTGTATACCTTAAGCATGTCTTCTGGCATAACTCCTGCGCATTTCAACAACCTTAGAGCGTATAATTTCTTAGCTGCCTTGGCAGTCACATCTTCAACGTGAGTGTTCCATTTAAGGTCATCTCTAATTATAACTCCTAAAAGCTTATAAGTTCCTACCCGCTCCACTTCTTGATTTCCAACAATTATAGGTCGCATTGTAGTAATGGTATTCTTCATGAAATTTACGTACATTTCTTTACATTTTTTGGGGATTTAATTTCATCCTATGTTCTATGCAATAATCATGGATTTCTCAGAGAACTACATCTAGCATAGAAATATTGTGTATATTTCTCTTTGTTCAATTGAGAGCAAATGGAAGAATTCAGTTTTAGTCAACACAACTTGTCTAGACTGTTTGCTCTAATCGCTTCTTTAACTTGTTAAGTACACAGTTGTATCAAGGAAACTAAGTCTGTAACTTAAACCGTGTACAAATTTTGCTGACGTGCAGGAACAAAGTCCATCACCCGCTCCTTAGAATTCAAAGCAAAGGAAGAAACTAATAAGCATATATGCTTTACTCTACTTACTCTGAATCCATATTTTGGAAGTGTTATCATAAGTCTTCAAGATTTCTTTCCATAATTCACAGAGGATTCTTACTGAGACAGAACCTTAGAAGGTTATAGAAGCCTTGTGAAGGATATTTTAGTCCCTCATTTGAAATGACCCACTACATCTCAATTTGTGATTTCATTTTTGTACTGATATTTGTTGAAAATTTCTGAATGCAGTTACTCAATGGAAGATATGTATGCAGTGGTATCAGATGTAGAGGATTATAAACACTTTGTCCCATGGTGTAGGGACTCAGCAATTGTGGCCAGAAAACCAGGCTTCCTTAAAGCCAAACTAGCTGTTGGTTTCCCACCTGTAATTGAGAAGTACACATCTGTTGTATCTTTGGTCCCACCAAACCTAGTGAAGGTACTGAATCTCTTTTTAATTCATTTTATCATATAATTACATATTCAGGGTTGTAGCTAAGTAATTACGCTACCAGCTGAAATTTCAACTAAGGTGGTTTGAGGCTGGTGAATGATTGTATGTGTGTAACCTCAGAGTGCCCATTCTGCTTTACCAAGTGATTGCTGACCAAAGATCCAGCTGGTGATGGCTGCTTGTCCATCTGGCAAATTCTGCCTGCAGCAAATGCTTNAATTACAATGGCTGATACAGCTGTTCCAAAAATAGCAAAAACAATAATCGAGCCTATGTTGGCAAAAAAATTACCCTGAAAAAGAAAAGGAAATGCTGAATTAGAATGTACTCCTGAAAAAAAATCAAGAGAAGTGCTGAAATCATCCAAAACTTATTTATATTGTAAAGTTCTCTTTACATGTGAAATGGAGCATTCAAGACAATGACACTGAAAAAAAATGTCTGAAGTTTATACAACATATCTCCCAAATTCTTATAGTATATATATATATATCTTATTAACCAAGCGCGAGGGCCGTACTGGGAGAATATCGGCCCGAGGTCTTGACAGTACGGACCGAGCGCAGCGAGGTCCGTACAAAAAAGACCGAGGGCCGATATTCTTCCAGTACGGTCCCGAGCAAGCTTGGTTAATAAGAGATTTATTATACGACTGAAGTTCAAAGGGACACAAGTGCGGTATCATTCGGGACCATTCGGGACAGTGCCCGGTCCAATACTGAGAGAATATTGACCGGCAATAGAGCATTTTGATTGGTTGATTTTAGTTATTGGCCCTCTGACTGCCCGAGTCGTGTAATAATATACATGTATTGGCTGACTGGTTGACACATGTCCACTGGATAGAATTAGGTCCCTAGAATAAGCCATCAGATGTGAGAGCAGAGATTACTTTAAATATGACAAGTTAAGCCTAATTTATTTGGGTCTGTGATTAACATTGGTTAGATGTGCTTTCCATTAAAGCTTTGTCATGAAATTGCTTCTGACTCACAGGCAGAGTGTACAGATGGTGAGATGTTCAATTATATGAAGACTGTTTGGAAATTTAGCCAAGGTTTACCTGGAAATCCTAATACTTGTACACTGGACTTTTATGTAAGTCATTATTACATTGATTTTAAAGTTCTATCATAATTTTTGACATGGGAAACATGTTGGCCAAACATTGATTTTTTAATGTTCTATTGTAATTTTTGACATCATTGGGTAATGTGTTGGCCAAACAGTTAGCTCACTGGACTCTAGGTCAAGGGGTCTGGGTAGGAGACCTGGTCCAATCATTTTGCTCCATTCCTGAATGCTTTCCTCTCACAGTGCCCCTGCTCACCCTGGAGAGTAAAGGGCTGCTGACAAATGGTCAAGAAGTCTGACATAATGTTGGTGGGTAACCTGCGATAAACATCCAGGGGGGAGGGGGGATAGGGATACTCCAAGTCACTTTATGCTATCAAAATTGGAATAAGCTTCAGCTGGATGGGCCACTTCCCCCTTCCCTCCCTGTCCCCGGTCCTATGGAGACCTACCAGTCACAAGAGCCCCTTAAATGTTGGACTACCGCCTCCCGGTTAGCTCAATGGATAGAGCTCTGGACTGATGTGCGGGAGGTCAAGGGTTCGAGCCCTGGCCGGACCAACACTCAAGGTCTTAAAATAATTGAGAAGAATATGCTACCTTTCTATAACATCAAGAAATGGTTAGATATTCTAGTCTTCTCGGATAGGGGCGGTTAAATGGAGGTCCCGTCTCCTGCATGGTTGGGGTAGGAGACGTTAATTTCCCACACACGAGATTACTGTGTGATGGATGTCCTCCCCGGGGATGGGATTGGTGGGTTTGTTGGAGCTTAAACCTCATAGGGGACCCATGTCCTATTGTTTCTGCTCCAGTACTTGGTACAAATCATTAAATAAATTAAATAAATAAATGTTATATACACTTGAGGCTCAGTGAAAAGAATCTTTCAGTGTTGTTATAATTGTAGTAATATGTTGATTTGTGTGGCAGTTTTTTTTTTTTGTTAACACTTAAATTTTTTGTCGTTGCAGGTTGAGTTTGAGTTTCGTTCAATTCTCCATTCTCAGCTTTCAACCATGTTTTTTGATGAAGTAGTGAAGAAAATGGTGAAGGCATTTGAAAAGCGGTGTTACTATCTGTATGGCCCTGGCCACCTGCATAATAACAAATCTAGACCAGTACCAGCAGGTATGAATAACACCTTAATTTACTTTTAAGGAGACTATGATCGTGTTAAAATGGTAATATGAACAATGCAATTTTGCAGTTGGCCATTTCCCTAGTCCAAAAATTTGGACTAGGGAGTTTTTGAAATTTCTACTGGGCCTAATATTTACGACTTTTTGATCAAGCAGAAGGATGTTGTCCCATACTAATCCTTAGAAAACTTTTCTAAGGCTTTGTATGGGACAACTGGAGGTGCTTACAGCGCACGCATTTTCCGTCCTGTCATGTGGTTATAGAAACCCATATTATAGAGATTAATATGTTGTGTTAGTTGGAGTGCAAAGAACACCAATTGGTTCTTAATTCATATGCAGAGTTTTTCATTTTGGGTGAATGTAGTGCATTTTTGAGAAGTTTTAGTTTGTGCAAATTTAACTTCAGTGGAGTCTTGGTTACAGATCTAGGAGAATCTGCAAAATTCACAACATTTAAAACCTGCAAACATTTTTTGCTTTGGTTAAGTGGTATTCCATGCAGGATCATGCATGGTTGATGCCACTCTGTCCTTACCCCTTTGCTGGTTTAGTCCAAGGTGGTGGGTCTATGCCTTACAGAAAATCACAGCTGTGCTATCTAAGTGAGCTTAATCAGTTATTCCCTGTCTAGCCCCAAAGTGTTACAAGTCATTGTTAACACAAAAGAGAAAGTACATTGATCACCATTGTTGTTGTTTTTTTCTCAGATCAACCAGCGTATATTAGTGTGTAACTCTGCAGGCTAGTCCTTGCCCAGAGTTTAACCTTGCCTAAATTAGAATTGTAACCGCATATTGTTCTCTTGTTAGTTAGTCAGTTAGTTATCTAGTTAGTTAATTAGTTTTATATTTGCTTAAGTTCATATCATTGTAACTAAACATGTTTGTTGTTTAGAGTGCTTAATAAAGACTTTTTATTTATTTATTTATATTACAATCTCTTATTAATTTAACTGTTTTGCTTTCAGGAGCAAGATAACAGAAGGCATATGAGAGGTTCTCACAGTTCACTAAGATAGCTTATTTAGGCCTTGTATGGTATTAATAAGTATTATTATTTACAAAATTAATAATGTTTTCAATTTGGGATGTAAATCAAACATATTATCAATTTCTGGAAAAAAATTGGCATTTGGTATATTTTCGACAACTGTTCGTGAAAGTATCACTGGAACCACAGGATCATAAAAGTTATATTTTGCTTGCAATACAATATTTGAGTTGATACAATGTTATGATGTGAAATAATGATTTGAGATATGAATAGTTTCCATCAGAACCTTTTAGCCAATCATATTTTATGTGCCATTTTACTTTGAGGGCTAATTACTGTAGCTGATTATTTTTCTATTTATTTAGTATCACCATAGCAATTGTTAGTTATCAATAAGTCACTGTCTTTTCATGGTCTGTTTTGTATTAAATCTGAGAACTGTTTGTTTAAGACCTAAAAGGATCTGTAAATGACCTCTTGGAGCCAAAGTTGGAAAATAGAAAATATTCTTAAATGACTGAACTGATCATCGCAATTATTCTTGATCTGCAAACCTGATTTTTCTATGGCATCATGCAACATTTCTATCTGAGTTAATGTGCATTGGATAACAACCAAATACTGTTGTTGTTCATAATGTTAAAAAAGTGTAAAAAATATTTTCTGAATTTTTTCTTTGCCTAGTCTTGTGGCTTATAAGTCTTGAAGTGTGAAGGTGTTTTAAGTATAGAACACTAAGTAGCTATTTTACACTTAACAAAGAAAAATGCATTTTTTGGGTTGGGTTGCGAGTGATATAGACATATATCCATGGTGAAATCTCCTGTTTTTAATATTACTATTATTATTTTTAATACTGATAATAATGATATTTAATAATATTAGTATTATTAATTCCTATGATGAAATGTTACTCTGCTGTACTGTAGCTATTGAATAAGGTTCATATATGTGATTTTGAATGAGGATAATATTATGATATTTACATTGCAAGAAAGGGACCTATTTATAGTAGCAATGTGTGGTGCTCTGTTTATAAGAAGAATGATGTAATCATGTGTTAATGCCAAGGTGTAATATGTATGAAATAGTGTGTGGACATTTTGTACCCAAAGTAATAATCATTTGCTCCGACGAAGGGCTAACGCTTGAAACGTCAGCTTTTATAATTGTAACGGTGGCCAATTTACCATTTCAACTTTGTTGATATATTCAAATTATTTCGTTACCCCTACCGATGCAGCCCCAAACAGTTTCTTTAGAGACTATCAGCCTTTAATAATCCTTAAGTTGAGATTTTAAGTACCTCACAAGCTATACACATATAATTTTTCTTCAATCAGTAATCTAACTAATGTATGTTTTCAGATAGTGGGCTTACACATACAGAAAGAAAATTAATCAAGTAGTTAAACGCAGTCTTTGAACACTGGTGCCCTCAAATATGAGCAGTACAGGGATTATAATTTGTGACAGTCAGCTGGGTCTATCCTCTAAATTGATTCCTGCAAAGTGTCAAAATGTCAGCTTTCTTCATTAAATGCTGTTAAGTTTGGTAAATTTTATTCCAAATCAGACAGCAACCTCTACCAAATCATTTTCCTTAACACTTGGGCATACCAAGGAAAATACAATTAAGAAGGGGACTTGGGGGATCACACCCTATGACACCCAGGGTACCTACCTGATTGTTGCATCATTGTCCAAGCTGTGTGACACTTTTTATGGATGAGCAGTGAGTGATACTTGCATTGTAAGCTGTGGTATTCAGACTTTTTTCTCATCTGAATTATACAGTTTGCTTGTTAATGACTTAAAAAAAAAATCTCACAAAAAGGGGATCGTGGGCACACCAGGGCCTCCCTTAACCTCCACCTCTGTAACGGGCTTGGCAATGCACTGATGTTTCAGGAGAAGGTGAAAGCAAATAACTCAATAGCTCTTACAATGAAGGATTAGTTGGATGCTGATCCTTGAAAACTATTGATTGTGGGCTGGTTCCCATACTTTGTACAAATAGCAAAGAAACATTTACCATAAAATGAACACTTTCAATTATGTATGGAAATAAATATTAAGCTCTGTCTATGTGTTATTCAATAAAAAAATATGATTCTTTTCAAAAATGCCTCTGAAGTTGTCACTGATTTGTAATGGTAACTAATCACACCAGTGATTGACAAAGCGGGCTGGAACCCGATTTGTTAATTATAATTATGATTTTTATAAGTATTGTGTCTTGCAATAAGTTGTGATAAATGGTAATAATAGGACGACTCAAAAGCGTTTTCCAGGAAATATCTCCAACAAGCTTCAACAAGTGGGTACTTTTGGGTGACGATACGCTCGAAAGGCTAGGTTACAAAGTTTGGAAGAAAAACAATATGGCGGATGAAAACATGTCAGTTGCGATTTCTTGTTACGTTTGAAATTCATCGATGTGCAGATATGACGCTTACGATGGTTTGAGGAGATGGCAGGTATTACTGGAAGGGAGAATGTGTTGTCTTAATTCGATGAATTGAGGGTTCTTAATCATATAACGAGTCTGACACTAAGAAGGGAAAGAAGCGGAGTAAATTTAAAAAAAATTTGTTGACACCATGCCAAATGTCTGCTCTTCCAGGGAACAGCCAGAACATATCTGTTTCTTTAATTGCGAGACGAAATTTACTGAATAAACAAGATAGATCTGCGGATGATACGTAAGTAAATTTCAATCACGTTTTGAATATTCGCTTGAGATCGAGATGTAGGGGTTAAGTGTCGCATGTCAGCTTAATGTGAAGTAAAGTTTACTAAAAGGGCGAATTTCATATAGCTTGCAAGCTCCAAGTTTGAAAGCGTGTATATGATCGAGACTTTTTAATAGAAATTGTCACAATGCATCCTTTTGTTTTCTGCCTCGTTCTTCAAAGCATGTCCACAAGGTGGACCTCAATGGCCCTGTATTCTGTAGTTGCTCCGAAATTGTTTCCTTTTATTTTAATTTCAATGTTTTGGCTGGTTAGAAAAACAACTGACAAGCAATTACCCAATGATGTGTAACCGGGATTAACTTACGAAGAACCCAAGCTTTTCCAAGCTATTCCGGCCCTGCACTCAGGTTTCCTGTCTCCAAAATTCTACGGCTGGCAGGTAGTAGCAGTCTTGGTAAATGTCAAGATGTTTATGTTTAATTGTGTTTCACAACACAGGGCTGCTGAATTACTGGAGTTAAGTCATGTCCGCCTCGATCGTGAGAAGATAAGTGAAATTGACAACTTGGATTGCCTTGGGCCAGTCACAAATTTATATTTACAGAAAGTGGGTCAGAGTTTATTACATGAGCTTAAGTGCAGCGTCATATCCTAGCCTAACCCAGTTTAGTTTAGTGTAGCCTGGTCTAACCCAGCTTTAATATAGTCTAATGTATCCTGTGTAATCCAGACTAGCCTAGTCTAACTAAGCCTGGCCTAGTCTAACATTAATCCAGCCTAACCTAGTCTAACCAAGCCTAGCCTAGTCTAATCCAGCCTTGTCTATTCTAGTCCAGTGTATTGGTTGCTATAATTATAAGATGAATTAACAATAATCAAGTCCATGTACCAGTATTAAAGTATTAATGATCTTTATTGTCATATTTCTCTATTACAGAATGAAATCAATAGAATAGAAAATCTTGAGGTTCTTCCAAAGTTGAGGTGGGTCCATGAGATGATAATTTTGTTAATATTAACTAAATGATGCAGTTACAATACTTATTAAGTTAATCTCAGACATTTTCTCGTGTCATAATGGTTATAGTCTAAATATGAACCAGATAGAAGTCTTCCTTTTGTATTATTTGCAGTGTTGACAGATTTAATTCATAACCATAGGATATTTTGTAACCCTCAATAGATTCTTGACGTTGGCTGAAAACAATATAAGCAAACTGGAAAATCTGAAAACACTCGCGAACTTAAAGTTCCTGGATCTCTCAGACAATAACATTGAGAATTTTGATGCAGGTTTGATTGATGCTATAATTTTCTTTTGAGACAAATGAGTTTTGAATTTTTACTTAAAAATAATGTTTACTAAAAGTATTTTTTATTTTTTTGTTGTTTTCCTCTTTACAGAAGATTTGCCATCAGGTCTAGTGATATTACTTTTAAAAGGAAATCCTTGCACTCAAAATGTAGAATACAAGTGAGTTATCTCAAAGATCATCTTCAGAGTTGTGACTATATATGTTAGCCAATAAAATGTGAAGTGTTGTAATAATACTTCATTTGTAATGTGATGCAGAAAAAAAACCAACAGGTGAACATGTGAACAAGTGAATTTTTTTATGCATCACAACAGGAGAATGAAAAATTGCTCATTCCAGCACTTTTCATGGTATGATGTTTTTATTTCATGCTTATTGAGATTTTTTCATACTAACAGACACATTTCAGTCAAAGATTGGAAGTGAAGACTGTGAAAATACATTGTTTGTCCAATCAGAGACATGAATGATAGTAATTCACAGTATAATTCTCAGTATGTATAAAATAAAGTGAAGGCTGATAGTTTTTGAAGAAACTGTTTGGGGCTGCGTCGGTGGGAGTAACGAAATAATTTGAATATATCAACAAAGTTGAAATGGTAAATTGGCCACCGTTACGATTATAAAAGCTTACGGTTCGGGCTAATGCTCGAAACGTCAGCTTTTATAATATCGTAACGGTGGCCAATTTACCATTTCAACTTTGTTGATATATTCAAATTAAAATAAAGTAAATGTGTTTTGCACCTTTTTTTAATTTAGGAAGAAATTACTCACAGCCCTTCCCTCACTGAAGCAGCTTGATGGCAATGAGATAACAAGACAGGACAGAGTGGAAGCTGGATGTGAGGCGTAAGTACTCTTCATGTTGTACTGGGTTTGGTGAGTTCCAAAGAAAAGAAGCAAAGCATGAATGTACATCTCCAACAATAATAATAATAATAATAATGATAATAATAACACCTTTATTTAGACACGATAATGTTTAAAGCTGAACAGCTTGTGGGGTCGTGTGTAAGTCTAAATAAACTCTAAATTAAATAAATTCAAATGATGATAATAATAATAATAATAATGATAATAATCGACTTTATGTAAAGAGGGTAGACATGTAACAGCTTGCGCTGACAAACCAGTGATGATGGTTTTTGAGGAGAGGGGAAAACCGGAGTACCTGGAGAAAAACCTCTTGGAGCAGAGTAGAGAACCAACAAACTCAATCCACTTATGATGCCGGGTCCAGGAATCGAACCCTGGACACATTGGTGGAAGGGGAGCGCTCTCACCACTACGCCAACCCTGCTCACCAGGTATCATGTGATACCTGCTATGCAATATGTTGCAATGACCCTATTCTACAACAAGCCACTCCATCAAGGCTCCAAGCACAGCTGTTGTCAAAGTTGCCATTTGGTGACCAAAAATCATAGAATGATTGCCATGATTAAAATTCTGGTCACAAAAAAAGACACTGGATACAATAAAACCCCTGCCCACGATAAAACCCCTGCCCACGCTCTGCTTGCCTTTGAAGCAAGCAGTGGATTTGGAGTCTCAAGGATCGTGTCAAAGCTTAACCCTTTGATCCTAAGAGTGATTAGTGTCTAATTTCTCCTTACAATATCACCCCTGAATCAAACATTAAGGTCAGGAGAATAAAGGAAATGATCACTTATGGTTTAAACTCTTGATTGTTAAAGAAGTTCTCCTTATCAGCACCTTAGGAAATGTGTATTTATTTACTTTTATTTAATATTTATAAGCAATATTTATACACTCAGGCAGGTCCAATTCAGCTAAGGCTGGTTTAAATGGAGGCCTGTGTACTAAATAATTTACTTAGAAATACTTAACAAATTATATATAACTGAAATAATTGATAGGTAATTAAGTGAATGAATAACTAGATGAAAAATGACTTAGAAACTAATGATATAAATCAACTATATAAGTCATAAGCTACTAGATTTGGGGGTGCAAAATGCAGTTTAAGACCCTTCTTAAATTTTGAAAGAGAAGTTTCCATCCTAAGCTTGTAGGGTAAATTATTCCACCCTTTAGCCCTGTTGTAGCAAAAAGTACTTTGGTAGTCAGTGGTCTTTGCTTGAAAACAAATGTGTAGAAAACATTATTGAGAATAAGCATACCAGTATTGATGTTCTGGTGTAAAGGGTTTATGCTTGGGAATTCAAGGAGAACTTTAGAGGAAAATCCTTACAAAAGGAGACCACAGAGCACTAGTTTTATTTGATTCATGAAGATGTTATCTCACTTTGACTTCAGACCATAAAAACTAAGCTATGAAACATTTCAATTGGGCAATGTGACTGCTGCTCTTGATTTGCATTGAAAATTGTCTTTGAATTGCTACATAGGGAAAGTGATTCTGATGAAGACAGTGATGAACTAGAAGAAAATGGCGAATCAGACCTTGACAGAGAAAAAGAAAAACAAGGTAATTAAAAGTCACTTAACACTTAACTCTCATGAGTGACCAAAACAAAAGCAAATCAGCAAATCAGCAAATAAGCACATGTCATCTTGTTGTAATTCTAACTTGTATCCAGACTCTTTAAAAAGTTGTTTAGTTTACCATCAAAGATTGGAACAGAAATCTATCCTAATATATAAAACATTACAATCATGGTATGACACCTGATTATCTGAGATCAAGATTTGTATATCGCGACAGTGTAAGTACTTATCGTTTAAGGAATACTGAAGACAAATTAGTTCTTCCACCACCTCTGGAAGAAGTCTCTGGGTCTGGTACAGCGGAGCTCAATTGTGGAACAACTTACCTGTAGACCTAAGACAAGCATCTTCGCTGACTGATTTCAAATCTAAATTAAATCACCACAGTTTAAAGTAAGATCTTAAAGTAAGATCTTAATTCTAAGTAAATTTTAGACACAGCCTCCATGAAAAGCTGAATTTTTTCTTTCTTTTATTTAAATTGTTATTATGAAATTATTATTGTAGTTAGATAGGTAGGTTTCTAGTATAGAATTAACTAAATCAACTGATGGAAAAACCGTGTATAAATAAAGTTATCCTATCCTATCCTATCCTTAAAAAGGTTTCTCAGAGCATTGATGTATCTTTAATGATGAGTGTTGAGTATATTGTTTTTGGTGTTTCTTTTAGGTTCTCTCCATCAGCACTGTAATGATATACTGGTACGAGCCAAGATAAGAACAGTGAAGGTACATTTTGCTACTTCTTAATTCATTCACACCCAGATGAAAAAGGAGAGGTGGCAGTGAACTGGGCTTGCAGTGATTTGGGGGGTACAAATCTCACACAAATTGTACCACGTTTTGTGAAGACCTGTTCTTCTTTTGAGCCTGCATCATTAGTAGTTCCTTTTTCGGTGGTCTGTCACACAACATAGGGCTTCAGGACACTGACTTACCTCAAGACTGCAAGGCAAGTTCTCGCTTACTTGTATGTGCTTCTGGTTTTGATTACAATTTTCACATATTTGGCATTCTCTGGGTCATTTGGGTCTGCCCCTCTCCTAGCATCAATTCTTTGGTTTTGAAATTGTGGATTGCAAATTTAGAGGTGAAGGATCATGTTGTAAATGGCAAAATGACACAAGTTTAAAACCCCTAGAATGAACAGACTGCTATTGGTGTATTTTTGCAGGAAGCAAAAGAGCACGGGAAGAGAATGGAAGAACTGGCCTCCCTCAGAGATCTGCAGTTACAGAGAACATCAAGCAGAGTTTCCTCCAGGCCCTAACTTAAAATGTTTAATGTTTGAGTCACAAAGAATCTGTGCCAACCATTCACCAAGAGTTGTAGAAGCTGTTGCTTTAATTGTTCAGACTTTTTCTGTGAACCCAAAAAACTTGGATCTCTTTACTTCCATCATTCTGTACTTACCAAAAGTGTGGACTGAATCAGAGGGTTGTGTCACAGCCTCTTGAAGTGGTGAAAAAGGAAAAAAAGATACTGAGGATTGTTCTTTGAAAATAGACAAAGTAAGTAGACAAGTACCACCAGAGGCACTTGTCCAAGAAAAGGGATTGCACTTTGTGATTGTATTGGTGGAGAAAGTCCTGAAAAAAAGCTTATGTTGTTAAGAACTTGTCTGCCATTTTGGCATTGAGAGAGAGGAAGTCAAAATTAAAGACATCATCAATTTTTGACTCTGATAATTGCTTAAAATTTGCTCACTTTATTAACATGTCAGTCATTGTAACCTGTCCCACATCCAGTTAGTAAAATGGAGCAAAGTAGTAAACAGAGCAATAGCATAGGAAAGAGCATAATAAGGAGGAAAGTTTGGGTAGCACTGGATAAAGAACATTTGCTAAGCTACCCAACCCAAGTCTCCCTGATACTGTTGTGCCTGAAACAGGCTGGTGTCATTATAAACAATCTACTTACTGACTACTCTTACCCAGATAGACAAGTTGCAATTGATTCTTTCCTCAGATTTTAAGCCATTTACTGTGTGCTCTAAAAAATGATTTTAGGCTAACAGTAAGTTGAGAGAATTAAAATTTATTTGGTCCTGTGCTTTCACACAAGTGTCTCTTTTTTTATCTCAAGTGACATTGCACATTTTATTACACCTCCAAAAATGGTATTGAACATTTAACATTGTATAATTTTCATAATAAGATTGAAACTTAGATGCAGACACAACCAGTGACTCCATAATGAGATTCACTTACAACATAATTTTTGTGCTCAAGCATTTTGGTTGTATACATGTTCAAGAAGGAATTCTCTCTTGTCCATTACAATATATTTTTTTTACTGTTAATTGAAGCAGAGTACAAAACCTACATTTCATCTACACAAGTGAATTGTTCCTACTTGGAGCAGATTTTAGGTTCTATCACAACATCAACAAAATTCCTATTTCCAGCCTCGATAATCTATGAGGTTGAAGGACTATTAAGCACTAGAAAACGTTTGCTCAATGTACGAGATCGTATGACAAGTATGTCCTTAAATGTGGATCAATCTTTTGATCTATAATTATGTCCTCCTAGAATTAATATTTAACTAAAGATACAGTCTTATTATTTGGTAGGAGGGGGTGGGGCTGGTGGTACTCCTCCTGATGAGGGAGTAGCCTTGGGTTTTGCCGCACTTAGATTTCCAGAAGACTTTGCACCACCTGAAAACAGGAACGACATGGTTGCACACACTTTCTACACATTCCTAAAGCACTGATTTGTAGATTGTATCAGTCAAGATGTGGTAATTTTTACTTTTCAGTGAATGAGCACAAAAACATGTTAAGTAATTAGACTGTAAATCAAATTGTTACCTCTCATTGGAAAAGTAAAAAAAAAAGGATAGTTTGCACTTGAGCTAGGTGGCCCATAAAATAAAAACTAAATGGCAATTTAGCTATTGACATTCCACTTGGAGGCTCTTCTTGTCCACTGTTTCTTGTTCAAACTTGAATATGAAATGTTGGTTTTTGTGGAGGTATGAAAAACCAGAGAAGCCAAAGAAAAACATTCATGAAGGTTTTCCTGGTTTCCATTAAAAGAAGCAACTAGGAGTATTAATACCAAACCCAACCCCTCCCCCCTGGGGTGGAATGCCTGTCCACCACAAGGTTTACCCTTCAGTATTTTTGGGCTTCCCTGACAATTAGCTAGTAACTACTTACGCCCCTGGGTGGAGAGAGGCACTGTGAAGTGTTTTCACTGAGAACACCACAAATCAGCCATGTTCACTAACAAGATCTGTACTTTTTGGCAAACTTTCTCTTCTCCTTTTTCAACTTATTACATCATCAAAATAGAACTTACCACCTTTCTGCTGATTTTTTTTACTTGGATATGTTTTTGTTGATTCTACATACGGCTCTGGAGGTGGAAGTTCCCCACCAAATGAAAACCTTGATTCAAATTCCCCTGAGGAAGAAAACAAAACAAACCAACAGCAAAGAGTATAAATTTGAAGAGTGTCCATGTGAAGTTGAAGTTGAAAGAACTTTCAGTTGTTTACTTACAGGACCTATTAGGGCGCTGATAACAGAATTGGGAAAAAAAGGGAAAAACTGACTTCTAGTTACAAAAAAGAAAATGTATCGAGAACTGTCGCTTTGTTTTCAGCAGACGGTCTTTTTTCCAAATCCCACGCATCATTTCTTCATTCTCTCCTGTCTTTCTCTTTTATAAAAAAACCTTTCAAGAATGAGCTAAGAATACAAAACTCTTTCTATTTTCTCTAACTGACGAACTTGGTTCTGCAAAAGCAACAACAATAATGGGTAGACAAGCGCTGTGAGAGTTGGATTGGTTGCTGGAGTGAGCTACATCCGAGAAAGACAAATAACAAGAACAATTCTTTAAATGGACGGCATCTTTTGACCATGAAGGTATTTTCAAAAGGAAAGTACTCAAAACCACAGCTCGTAAATCAGACTTCAAGTAACCACTGGTCTGAGTTTAAAAGTTCATCTTGTGAAAATATTACAATGAGTTAAGCAGCACTGCATCACTTTCCCACATAACAGGCGAAGTATTTTTCACATTCGCGGAGCTGAAAAAAAGAATCGTTTGGCTCAGAAGTTAAGAGAAACAGAAGTTTTGGTACAAACCTTTGTCCATCTAAAAACTTCAGTTGGTCAGGACATAACACTACACCCGATCAATTAAAACTTTGTTTCCTGTCATCCACCTGTATTGCAGGGTTCCAAAAAAACCGGCCTTTGTCTTTCAGTCTGGTGCTGGCATTACCACTTACTCAAGTTTATCAGACAACTTCAAAAACGATAAGATTTTCATGCTGAATGTTCCGCTGTTTTTCGCTGATCTGCTTTGCTTAGTCATTCAAGTACAGTTTAATGGAGCCGATGACGCCATAACTTTGGCGCCATTTGGCAAAACTTGACAGCCAATGAACATCATGGGATTCAACAGGTGAACCGCGGTTTGGACGCGTTTCAAAATTATTTTCAAAGAATTTGAGGATAAAACGCCTTATCTGTAACTGTAAGGACAGTAGTAAACAACTCGGAAACTAGTGTATCTCGTTTTTTGACGACAAAGTCGAGATTCCAAACCTTAGTTTTCTCATCTTTCTATAGGGCTTTTCAAATGACCCGCAAAAATCAAAATAACTTAAATGAGCATCAGAGAAGAACCTGAAGCTTGAAATCCCAAACAAGATGGGAGAAATACCCCTTTTTTAGATGATTGTCTTATTTTAGAGCTCAGTGAGGCATCACATTAAATTGGTTGGCGATTTAAGCCTTAAAATGTTTCTAAGATGTTCCAAAAGGTATGGTGTTTAAATAAACAATTATGTAGTTTTCTTTCTTGAGGATCTTGGTTGTTAAATTGATTTCAGAGTTCGCCTAAATATTGAGATGTTCTGTTGCGTAACACGCGATCGAAAAACACATGTCAAAAAAATCCCAGGAGGATTCTGCTTGATTGCCTTGTTAACTACAGTTTTACTCAAATTTTATCTTTACTTGTATTTCTAAATGAAAAAAAATAGAAAATAAAACTGTTCCTTTTAAAGCATTCCGACATTCCAGTTGTAACCAGAAGCCAAAACATTTTACACCAATTTCAAGTCTTTTTTCTTTCCTCAAATTTATGTCTCAAATTGCAGCCCCTAGTTGTTGGCCTGCAGCATGGACAAATAAAATAAAACTATTGTTGAGATTTTACAGAACAGTGTCTTTTATTTCTAAAATGATAATATACAATTAATAATCTAAAAATTATTGTTAATTACCACGCAACATTCTATTTTCTTCTATCATTATTGTTTGGTTATTGGAATTATTAACACTACCACAAGTTTGTGGCAAACTCTTTACACAAGACTCAGCTATTCACCGAAAACAACTCTCTTGGCTTAAATCTTCCTTCGTTCTATTTCATTTCAAGTGCATTTGAGGCTAACTTTCTTTCAGAAGAAGTAAAATGCACTCCGAAAAAAACTTTTGCCACAAATGTGCTCGAACAAGAATATCCACCTAATGCTTGACCCAATTCATTTACGACAAAGATACAATACAAAACGTAAATTTCATTTGCACTAGCGATTTGTTTATAAATGTGGTTTTTGTACTCATGCTCATCTGAGCAAGTTTCAGTTCTTGTTGCAACACCAACAAATTAACTATCTCCAGCCTCAGTAACCATGAAGGTTGAAGAAATACACTCTAAAAAATATTTTGTTTTCTGTTACAAATATCACCTAAAAAAGTCCACACCTCTGGATCAATGTTTTTTTTAGGTTGATGTTGCTTCAATTTTTGGTTTTTTAATTGTAAAAAATTCTGTCTTCATAGATTTGTTGAGAAATTTAGGTGAGAGACTCATCTCCTGGGAGGAGGGGGTGGGGGTGGTGGTGCTCCCCTTGATGGGGGAGGAGGGGGTGGATTGGCTTTTACTGTACTTGGGTTTCCTGAAGACTTTGTACCACCTGAAAACAACAGTAACATTTCAGTCAAGTTTGAGATAGATACTATTTGAATTTGTTGATGCCAGATCAATTAATTCTGGATTGGCAATACATATGAACTCAGTTTTCAATTATCTGCCAATTAAAATGTTTCCTTTTCCAGATGCCCAATTTTGTTTAAACATTTTGGGATTATCTTTCTTTATATCTATGGTTACTGTCCCAATGTAACAGCCTTGTCCCTATCTTCTTTGGGGAAAGAAGCTTTCGCCTACATGATGCAGTACTACTGCCAGTGAGATCCTAAAAAAAGTCATGCACACATATCTGCTGTTCCTTTTCTTCAGCAGCCCTTATGTCCATATGGGATATCTTTATAATTCTGTTGGTAGTTAAAAATGAAGCCGTTGTAATCAAGATCACTTTCGCAAGTTTTAACTGCATTTTATCAATACTTACCACTTTTCTTTGGATTTTTACTTGGATATGATTTTGGTGTTTCTACATAAGGCTCAGGAGGGGGAAGATCTGTACTAAAAGAAAATCTTGCTTCAAAATCATCTGGAATAGAACCAAAGCAAATGAACTTTAGTGCATTTATCAATCAATCAATGCTGTGGAACCATGTTTACTGAGGTGCAAAGCGAGGTGGATGACTCTTAGTGTGTACAACACAGAAGAGTCATCCACGAAGAAGTTTATTTCATTCAATATACCCCAAAATTTGATTGGATATTAAACTCATGGTACGCAATTTTGAATCATTGGCTGCTCTGAGGTGAATTGTACTTGCTATTTACCTCTGACCTAGGCTACCAGCGCTTGTGAAAAGCACTATTCACTTGTGTGGTGAACACTAATAAACATTATAGTTCTCAGTCACGAAGCGCATACCTTGCTCTCCTGTGCCATTCAACCCTACTAATCAGTCAATAAGTACGAAAGATAAAAATTAAGCTATTTAATTACCTTCTGGGTCTGACATTAACTCTGGGGGAGGAGGGGGTAGTGAGTTTCTTGTTGGTCCATTCATCATCATGTTATTTAACCTGCCAGTTGAAGAGTGTGGCGGTGGGGGTGGAAGACCTGACCTCTTGGTTTCAAGTGGAACCCTTGCTGGAGGTGGAGGTGGGGGTCCTTGCCCACCTGAAGGAGGTGGTGGTGGCAATGGGGCTGATCCTCGAGGTGTGGTAGGCCCAGAACTTGGCCTTGATGGAAATTTACTGGGAGGTGGAGGAGGAGGAGCTTGAGATGGTGGTCTTGAAGAGGGTGGAGGAGGTCCTCGGCTTGGAGGTGGGGGTGGTGGCCCCCCTCTTGATGGAGGTGGTGGCGGAGGACCCCCTCTTGGGGGTGGAGGTTGGGGAGCGGCCATACTAGGATTACTCCTTGTGGGAGGTGGTGGAGGGGGAGCACTTGTTCTTGGAGCTGATGATGATGGTGGGGGTGGTGGTGGTGCACCTCCTCTTCCTGGTGGAGGGGGTGGGGGACCTTGTCTCATTCCGGGAGGTTGTCTGGGTGGACCTGCTGGAGGAGGAGTTGGCAATGGTCTTGAACTTGTTCCTGATGGGGGTGGTGGCAATGGCCTGGAGTTTTCAGACACTGATGGCTTATTAAATTGAGGTGGGGGTGGTGGGGCAAACACAGGTGGCTTACTGGGTGGACCTGGAGCACCTGGTAGATTAGGGAGAGGTCTTGCACCACCACTGGGCGTAGGAGGCAGCGGTGGGCTGGAATTGTTTGGCGATGGTGGTTTGAAGCCAGGTGGTCGCATGGCTGGGCCTTTGGCTCCTACACACAACAAAAATATATTTATTGTCAGTAGAAAAAGCAGAAAACAAATTTAATTATCATTCACCAGAGTGGAGGAGAATATATCCTAGTATTATCCAACTACGCTCCGTAGAGTATAAATGTTGTACAAGACAAGTACATATATCATGCAGCATCTGTACTCCAGAGAACTGGTTAGACAGGTTTTCCCATGTCAAACAACTGATGCATTGGATTGAAGTTACAAAAAAAATGGCAGACAATTTAAATAGTTTTTCTGATGACAGTGTCTGAATGGCTGGCAAATATTGCCCCAAGTTTACATGTCGAAGATATATTGAACAAAGAAATGCAGTCAGATGACAATGAAATTTCATCATTTATTGAAGAAAAGAGAAACAGCAATATGAAAACATGCCAATTCCATTGCACTTTGTGTACTTCTGTCACACACTCCCAATAATAAATATCCGTGGAATTTGCCCACACTGAAATAACAATTTGGCACGTTGGATAATAAATAACTTATTAGACATTTTGGTGTGTCATATTGCTGAGTATTTTTACACAGTATTTGTATTTTGAGGGGCTCATCAAAATATGGCCCAACTTGTAAAAATACTCAGCAATACTACACTAAAAACCATTTAATAAGATATATTTATCACTGACACTGAGGTGACTAATATCTATAGTATGTCCCTCCAACAAACACATAAATTTGTTCACTACTCTGAATACAGTTAAACCTGTATTAAATGTTCACCCACCACAAATGCTGGTTCAACAGAATAGGGTTCAACATCAACAAACAAACAAACAAACAAACAAACAAACAGAAAAACAGAACAATAAAGTAGAATTGCTGTGCAAACTGTTAATAAACAATCGGACTTCTAGGTCATTCACTAGCAAATGAAAAGTTGTTACTGAACTGATGCACTGCAACATAGAATCTACTTTAATTTGTCAATAGAATAAGAAAGATGGAGTTTGTTTAGATCAGTAAAGAAATAGAGAAAGATGTTTTTCATCTTGTCACCAGTGTGAGACAAAGAGAAAATTCTGAATCCCTAGGTTTGATACCTCGTGGGGAATCAGAATTTTTTCCTTGTTCCACCCTTGTGACAAGATGAAAAATATTTTTCTCCATGGAATCTACTTGTTAAATTGAATGAAGTGGAAACTAAGTTGGCAGGTTTCCTTCAATGTATGGTGCATGCCTATCAACACATCTGGCTTTATCAAGTTTAAGAATACTTTGTAATGTCCAAAGCTGTCAATTAGAGCTGGCAGGGTGAGGTAAAGTCTGTTTAATACGAGCCAAGTGGCCCATCAGACCAGTGCTTAACTCCAGTTTCCATACCATGAAGTGACTAAGAGAATTTCTACTCCCCCCTGGATAGGATGCTAGTCCATCACAGGGTTACCCCCCAAGATCAAATTTGCCAGTACCCATTTAAACACCTGGATAAAGAGAGGCACTGTGAGAGTATATTTTCTTGCCTAAGAACCCAACACGATGTCCCCAGCCAAGGCTCAAACCCAGACCACTCAATCTGGAGCCAAGGGCATTAAACATAAGGCCAGTGCACCTCCCAATAAAAGCTGGTGTCCAGCTAAAACTTTCAATCACAAAGAATGTCTAATATGATACCTCCTGTTCCGGGTCTGCCTCTATCTGCAGCTGATCTCAATTTCGGCATTCCTCCAGCAAAAAGACCACCTAGTCCCATAGGAGATGCACCCATGCCACCTCCACCTCCACCGCCACTGTTGCCTCCCCTACCTCCACCGCCACTACTTGGACTTGGTTTATCTTGAAGAAAAGTTCATCAAGTAAAGGTCAGTGTGCCATGTTTTTTTTTTATGCAGTGCATCCACAGGTTTGAATAACAAAAAAAAAAAAGGCAGTTGCTGATGATTGGAACTATTTTAACTCCAAATAACACTTTAACTCCCAAGATCTGCTTGTTAATTCTCCCCTCAAGCTGCTATAGAATTTTTTGTAAAGTAGTTATGAGAATTTGGTGTTAAATCAAAAAAGCAACTTCTACATGGTAATTTGGATATATCAACAAAGTTGAAATGGTAAATTGGCCACCGTAATAATTACAAAAGCTGACGTTTCGAGCGTTAGCCCTTCGTCGGAGCGAATGACGAAGGGCTAACGCTCGAAACGTCAGCTTTTGTAATCATTACGGTGGCCAATTTACCATTTCAACTTTGTTGATATATCCAAATTATTTCGTTACTCCCACCGACGCAGCCCCAAACAGTTTCTTTCGAAACTATCAGCCTTTCTACATGGTAAGTTTGAGTATTCTCTCCTGTTTGCTTAAGTATCTATGGATGCTATGGGAAGAAGTTACATGCTAATCACTACTGGGAGTAAAAAGGGTTAAGACATTAACAATTACATATTTTTCCTCATAATTTATGGCGCAAATACAGAAGAACCCTGCTAACACAAACTCCCAAGAAAAACAAAAAATGGTTTGAATTGGCAGGGGTTCAAGTAGCTGATGATAAATGACTAAAAATGGGGTCAAGGGAAATCAGATGTTGTTCAAGTTACCAGGGGGTTTGAGTAAACAGAGTCCAACTTAGTGGGGTTCTACTGTTTCACAATATAATCAAAAATAATTTTCACCATTATTTCTACCCAGTTTTTAAGCAATAAATGCTTTGTGCATCTGGAAAAATAAATCTCTGTTACTTAGGGTCACAATCAGTCAAATAAAGCTGTTTTTGACTTTGGTGAACAAATGAAAGTTAAATTGTTTTTTGTTTCTGTCTTTGTTTGATTTGAATACTTTTGCTTTCTAAGTGCTCTTCTGCATGGCTTAAAATTAGATCATAACTGGAACCTCTCATTTCTAAGTCCAACTAGGAAACCATTTGATTTGAATAGTTTCGCTTTCTAAGTGTTCTTCTGCATGGCTAAAAATCAGATCATAACTGGAACCTCTCAGAAAAACAGTAGGGACCCAAATAAATAAACAATAAATACAGATGTGCATGTGTACTCTACGAACAATTTCCATAGTATAGGTTATGGATCTTTGGTTTTTGCTATTTGATTTATTGCCTGAGCACTTTGTAACTCAAGTCATTGTTCAACTTTAAGCCACTTTATGATATTAGTGCAACAGAATTTACAAAATATGCTGCAGTATTACATTGTAAAACAATGGCAAAATTATGAGCAGAAAATGGAGCAACAAAATGGCACTCTGTATGATCCCAACTTTTTTTTTATTTTTTTATCCAGTTTTGGGCTTGACTTTAAAAGCAACAAACTATTAAGCTCATCATGTTTTGTTTGTTATTCACGAAAAGCACATCAATGGTTTCACTTGTGTTGTTTTTGTCTTTCACCCAGGCCATATATTTGATCAATACTGTGGATCTAAAAAACTGGAAGCAAAAATGCTTGAAATGCTTGAAAATGAAATAACACTGGTCAGGAATACTAAATACCTTATTCAATGGTTTAACATATCATAAGAGCAGAAATTTCCATAAACCATCAAATAAGGCATATGTACGGACCTAAAACTCAATTCGTAAGAAGTATCTCTTATAAACTGTTAAATGCAACCTTTTTTTTTTTTTTCAAGAACTCACATTAAAAAATTCCTTAGATTTGTTTTAGCAACTTACTTGATACAGTAGGGGCACTACGATCATTTGTGACTGTCTTCTTCAGCTTAGCACCTTGATGTATCTGGCTGAGCAGGGCCCCCCTGTTCTGAGACTTTCCAGAAGATTTAGGGGGTGGAGCAGAAGCTCTGGGTGCAGGGGGAGGTGGTGGTCCAGGAGGGGGAGGAGGGGGTGGAGGCATTTTTCCCTTGATTCACTTTACTCCCCCAGTTACAAAGTTCTTTAATATCTGCAAGGAAAAAGAATATTAAATATTTTTGTTGTGTCTGATTGGTTGATAAAGTGGCACTAATTTTCTGGACCAATCGAAGAACACAGTAAAACAAAATCAAAGCAATCCTGGTATAAAAATTCCAATACTGAAAAAAGACATTACTATTGTGTAGAAAATATGTATAAACTTCTTAAAATTACCAGAACATTCGGCTTAAATAAAAACTCCAAAAACTTCTTAAAATACTAAACTCAGGGATAACAAATTTGCATGAACAAAAACTAAAAAAACAATGACCAAAAACTAACTCCATAGAAAAACAAAACAACAAAGATATGCACGAAATGTCCACGTCAGTTTCCAATGTCAAGGTTGAAGCTGATTGGTTAAGGCCTGGTTCAAACGTTGAATTTCACATGTGCCGAACTTAATGCGAGAGTTAAATGCATGTAAAGTGCGATGTTTGAATCAATTAAATTCAACTGTTTTAAATCAAAAGCAACTTTCACTGTATCTGTTGACTCAAATGTCACATCTCACATGTGCCGAACTTAATGCATGAATTATAGGAAATTATTATGATTCATTTATTACCCACAAACAGCCAGGAATTCTGTTAATGCCATGTGCAAAAAAGCCAAAACAGCACAAAAAAAATGGTGGGAGACGAATGCGTAGTTCTTGCTTTGCAAAGACAATATAGTTGTTTGAGGTGCGATAATTACTTTTGTACGAGGTGTTCGGTTTTTGAAAAGGAAGAGGGCACTCCTGGGTGGAAAGTAGGAAAATCTGTGGCATATTGCAATTCTTGTTTCAATGAAATGATGGAATGTGAATCAAGTCAGAGTATCATGACAAAAAGCCAAGATGATGAAGCAAAAACAAACAGCAAAACAAAAGCATCAGTTTCATAATTAAGCAAACACTCAATAGATGTCTTTGTCACGGTCTAGCAAATATGCGGTGCACCCGGAAACATTGACAGCGAACAGAGTTAAATTCGACAGAGTTAAATTTGACGTTTGAATCAAATGCTGTATTTAAATAACTATTTTAGTCAACTAAAATAGGAGTTAAGTTCAGTACATGTGAAATTTGACATTTGAACTGGGCCCAACTTGTTAAATCATGCTGCCTCACATTGAAATAAAAATAATACAAAGAGAGGAGAGAGGAAGAGGAAAATTGAAGTTTGAAATTTAAAAAACAAAAAAGATATTCCACAACTGGATTACTTACAACACACAAATGAAAACTGAGTGTTATATTTACAAGAGGCCTCAGGCACTAACGTTGACAAACAGTGGTTTTAGCATAATATAAAATAAGACAATGCTCTGCTCAACAACAGAGATGTTAACTACAGGTCCCTCATTTCTAAGTCCAACTAGGAAACCATTTGATGAAACTTCCCCCCACAAGCTCATTCAAAGGCATTACTTTGTTAACAACATATATTGTCAATAACATGAAACACCCAGTCTGTTTCCCTTTTCAGGCATAGCTATGTTTATTATCACCAATACTTCTAATTTTTATTCAATTATATAAAAATGAGCCAAATCTAGTATTTTAATCTCAAAGATCTCTTATAAACTTTTAGCTGATCAGATACGCTAAATGCAATTTGCAATACACCATTATTGATAATTAACTCTAGTTGAAACAAAACATTACTTAATCTTAAGCATCTTTTAGTTGCTAGACGTAAATAATTATTATTGCAAAAATTGTTTTATTATAAGGCAAAATGCAACTTAAAAGTATAAATTCTCGTTAATATTTCACTATTTTTGGCACGATACCAATTTATAACTGAAGCCACACGAAGGTTAAGGGCTAGGGATAGTGGAAAAAATTCGCACTTTTGGATTCTTAGAAAGGACACACGCTAAAGCCTGTTGTTTAAGCTCTTAAAAACGCAAAGAAACGACAGGTTATCAGATTTGTCTCCATATCCTACGCACTTTTACACGTAACTTAGGCGACATTAAGATATCTCGGGACTGATACTTGCATACATGTAGAAAGAATTTTTCATCATGAATCAAATCCTCTTTGTTTAACAAGATTGCCGGACATCAAAAGGCGCAAAGCATTGACTTTCGCCACTGATAATTGCAATCTGATGGAATATCACGATGAAACTTAACAGAAAAATTGTGATGGACATATTTTCGATACAAATATTGCTCGACTCGCATTATTACTTCCGCTAAGGGTTTCGATCTCGCGCAAAACATTCTGTTAGGTGGTACTCAAACATTCGATACTCTCTCTCTTCGACGCATTCGGATAAAGGAAACGAAATATAGCACTAAAAATTTACTCACATGAAATTAAACAAATGACACGTTCCAATTGACGCTGGACAAACACTCCGAAAGTTAGCCAAATTTGAAATCAACTATTTCCTCGATGAGGAATGTCAGAATTAATCGACGTTAAAAAAATGTTCAATTCCTGGTGTGCTACTTAAAGGCTACGACGCTTCTGTGCATATAATTCTCAAATGAGTAAACTGCTCGTAACAATAGAACCTATCAGTAGCAAAAATCGTAGAACTACAAGTTGCAAGTGCGGGAATTCGAAGTCAACTGGTTGCATACAAAGATTAAAACTACATAATTACATGTAGCCATTTGATCGTGTTCTAATTGAAGGAAACATTCATCAGAGTTCATTCACGAAGAAGCGAGCCTCATCGTTTCAGGATTCAGTACTATACTGAAAATCTAATAACTTAAAGTGATAGCATTTATCTCCATGATTGTGTAAGTTCTTGCAAAGGGATGCCTTCGGAAACGTGCAAGTCCATGCATGGTTTCGCGCCTCCGAAAAATCAAGCTACCGCGGAAGTCTTACCTTAAAAGTCAATGTATGTGGTCTAAAATGTCCATTATTTCCCAAAATATTCTTAAACTGCTTCTCGGAAATCCACGATCTTAAAAAGTTCCAAAAAATATAATCGGTTGCCGGTTTACCAAAATGGCCGTAGAAATAGTAAGGCTCATGTCTCATGTCGTCACCACCCCCTGTTCATGACGTATTTCCTCATATCCAGTCCTACGCGCGCAATAACTTTTCCACATATGATTTGCATTTGTCGACAACGGAAGTCTTGATTTTTATTACCACAAAAGTACGAGATACAACGTTAGCTGTTTTATCTTCATGAAAATTTGTTTAAAATGGTTAAATGTAAATGAAATTCCGTAAGACAGTGCGTTGGCCAAATTTCATATGGGAGGGCTTGAATTTAAGCACGGACTTGACGCGCGCTAGCTATTATCTATCTGTGACCAAGCTAACATCACAACAGAAAGTGTTTTTTTCTTCTTCCGCTTTCGGTCTGAGATATTTTGAGACGATTATTTCAGAGGCTACCCGGAAAATTGTTCGTTTTCCTGAATTTTTGGTAACCGCAGTGGGGAAAAAAATTGATATATCCTGTCAGCGGTCCCACATTCTGTTTGGATAAAGAGAAACCCAAACAATAAATCTACCTTTCAGTAATATTTAGGGGCTGATTCAAAATAAGTGAGAACTAGGTGGTTAATTCTGCCCTGGCTACTGCGCAATTAAACATTTTTTAGCAAAGAACTTGTTGATGTTTTGCAATAAACATGGATTAAGATCACCACAAGATGGCTTGTACAAAAAGCGAATTTTCAACTCCACAAATTCTAACAATTCTCAATGTTTTTGGTAAGAGCGTGTGCTAAATTTCCATGACAGGGTAGGGTAGGGTAGTGGCGGAGGGAGGGGTAGGGTAGGTATTGGCAGGGGGAGGGAGAGGAATAGTAGTACTTGTAGAAAAACTAAGGCTGGTGTGAGCCATCTCTTTTAATGCTCTGCGCTACTTATTTCGCACATAACTTTATTTTGACCGAAGAAATAAAGGGGGTAGGTTTATAAATAAAATTGTGGTGCTACGTCGGTGAGAGTAACAAGGTGATTGGGGTTTTATCAACTGAATCGATAATGTAAACTGGACACCGCAAGGAGTTTTAAAAGCTCGCGTTTCGAGCATTAGCCCTTCGTCATTCGCTCTGACGGTTAGCTCAATTGGTTAGAGCTCCGGGTTGTGTTGTGCGGGAGATCGAGGGTTCAAGCCCCGGCCGGGACCAATACTCGTGGTCTTAAAATAACTGAGGAGAATTTGCTACCTTTCTATAATATCAAGAAATGGATAGAGGTGCTAGTCTTCTCGGATAAGGACGAATAAACCGTGGGCCCTGTCTCTTGTAGGTTTAGGGGTAGGAGACGTTAATTTCCCACGCACGAGATTACAGTGTGGTGGATGTCCTTCCCTGGGAGTGGGATGGGTGGGGAAGATAGCAGGTCCAGCAAATTGCTGCCATAAACCCAACCTACTCAAACAAATAAAGATGAAAGAAAGAAAGAATTATCAACTCAGTTGATAAAACCTCAATTATTTTACCTGTATTTTGGCCGGTTTACTTCGATTTCCCCGAATCATTTCCTTGAAATTCCCTTGAGAAAAAAGATGAGAAAATTGGAATTCAGCTGACATTCGTAGTCATACTGAAAATGTCTTTTTCACTTGGCCATCTGTCAGTATGCGAACTGAAAATCCAAGAAACGAATTTTTTTTTTTTTCAATTTCATATATAATACGTTGCTTCTGCGATGTCCCTGCGACAAAATAATAATAATAATAATAATAAAAGATTTAAACCGTGCCCGTATCCTACTGTTCAAAGGCGCCTACAAAAACTTTAACATTAACACTTAGACAGCTAATATTAATTATAAAAGGCTGTTCTAAAAAGAAGAGTTTTTAATCTACTTTTAAAAACAGACACAGACTGAGCATTTCTAATTTCACATGGCAAAGCATTCCATAATGATGGTGCTGCTACAGAGAAAGATCTCGCGCCATATGTTTTCAAGTTATAGGATGGAGAAACCAGAATACCTCATAAAACAGACCTTATAAAACAGAGCGCATTCTAGCTCAACCATACGCAACAGCCAATGAAAAGAAGAGAAAACTCAATAGAGTTGAATAGAACTCACCCTTAAAACAAGAGAACTGTCTCGGGAGCAGAAAACCTGAGTTATCAGGTCGCTGATGGATTTAGTTTTGAACCCGATTAGAGTGGTTTGCACAAGTTTTCTGGACTCAAAGAGCGAAGTATAATAAAACACGTAAAAAAAATTTCTATTAAATGAACCAAGGAAAATGCGTCATTGGGTCTAGCTCCCAGACCTTATAAACCATTAGGAGACGCTGTCAAATGTGCCTCGCATGCAGGCACATGAAAAGTTATATGCATGCGCCATTTCACGTACCTCAGTGTGCGCAAACTCTGGTTTGGCATGAAAACATATCATGCATGATGCATTATGAAGTGAGTGAAGTTCCAGGAAATAAGTGCAATCCCATACAGTATTAAAATTTTTCGTTAGTTAATCTCTGCGGATTGCTTCTCATCCGCTTAATAGGTACCGGCAAATTACAAAGCCCTACGCAATAACCAAGTTGAATCCAATTAAAGAAACCCAGCGGTCATAATCATTACTCCTAGACTCAGACTAAAAGACAATTTGACAAAAGTCGATTTTATTAAGATGGAACACTAGCTATGCAATCAATTCAATGATTGACACAGTTCCAGCAATGCGAGTGAAAAGAATTCATAATAAACGAACCAATCAGCTCAACCTATTGCCTGGATCTGTACAACTAGAACTGCATTCTGTGCACAGAGGCCTGATACTATTGCATAACCCTGACCTTAATTTAGTCTAATCGCAATTTTTACAAGGTGCATGCTATGCTAGCCTGCAAAATAAAAAACGGACCTTTTTTCGGCTGTTTAAGCTGGTGTTTAACTATAATCATCAAATCAGCTGCCTTTGCAAGCCAGCATTCGCTCTGATTTGCCAGAAAATGCATTTGATCCATAACAGTACACAGAGACTACAGTTCAGAGATCAAACAGTCATGTACATCCAGAGCATTATGAACTATTGCTTAACATAAATGTTTCCTGATAGACAAGTTGCACAATAAGTGAACCAAAGCTCAGCAAATAATTTCCCATCCATTCATTTAAAATCCACCCATTCCTCCCATACCGCCCATTCCTCCCATTCCACCCATTCCACCCATTCCACCCATGCCAGCCATATCTGCCTTATCATCCTTTGGCTGATCGACAATGACTGTTTCCGCTGTGGTCAATAGGGATGCAACACCTGCGGCGTCTGTCACAGCTGTTCTGACAACTTTTGTGGGGTCGATGATTCCTGCTTGGATCATGTCTACATAGGTGTTGTTCAAGGCATCATAACCTTGGTTACCTTCCATAGAGGCCACCTTGAAGAGAAAATGCAAAATAACCATGTTGGTTTGAAAAGGAAAGTGCTTGAAGGAGTGAATGAAAAGAGAAACAGCCAACACAATTTCAGTTGCTCTCCACAAGAGTAGCCTGGCATGATTTTTTCTCACTGAGCGCTGTGTTGACCTTAAATCAAATCTCACCTTTTCCACCACAAGTGCTGCCTCTACACCTGCATTCTCTGCAATAGTCTGACATGGCTTGCGCAGAGCCCGTCTGACAAGGTCTACTCCCTTGCCCTGGTCTTCACTCTCTGTCTTGACATCGTCAAGGCTTGGGATACATCTCAACAAGGCAACACCACCCCCAGGTACAAGACCTTCTTCCACAGCTGCTCGCGTGGCATTCAAAGCATCTGTTACCCGGTCCTTCTTCTCATTCACTTCTACTTCACTGGAGCCACCAATCTACAAAAAAGATGATTGTTAACAACATGTCTGCTATAAACACTCTGACTTAGGAGCGTTGGAGGAGCTCATAAATTTTCAGGGATTGAGGAAGCAGTTCTTTGGAGAGGCTTATAAAAAAATCTCAGGCCGAGCCAAAACGTAATTATTTGATTTTTTCTCATCTGCACTGTTACCTAGAATATCATTTGCATTTCTTTAGTTGAAGAACCCATCATAATTTACACAGAATATAATTATTACAGGCTTTTAGTTATGATATTTTGAACTGAAATGCACCATGACCTAAATGACAACTAATATCTAACAAGATTTATTTTGGGAAGAGAGGGAAGTGGAGATTTTAGAAAAGTGGAGCATATTTCAAATTTGACACTCTAAATAGAAGGAAAATTAGAGCCTACACTGTAGGCAAGAAAACCATTGTGAAGATTAGAATTTAGGACAATAATTATAATGTTACATTAAGCCTATAAGGCTGATAATGAGAAGAAAGTAACTTATCTACTTGGGAAAATCCCTTTTGTATGACAATATCTTCAAAAAAATGATTTATTATTACAGGCAAATCAAGTGTTCATCTTCTCACCTTTAAGATAGCAACACCATCAGAGAGCTTGGCCAGACGTTCGTTTATTTTCTCTTTCTCATATTCTGAGGTAGTATTTTCAAGCTCCTCTCTGAGTTGGGCGCACCTCTTCTCGATTTCTTCAGTGCTACCCTTTCCTTTCAAGAACAAAGTGTCATCCTTAGTGATTGACACTTCCCCAACCTCACCAAGATCTTGAATTTGGATATCTTCAATTTTTGTTTCCAGAGCATCATCTCCAAATACCATACCACCCATGGCAGTGGCCATATCTTGCAGGGTGTTCTTGCGATTGTCGCCAAAACCTGGTGCCTTCACTGCAGCTACTTGGAGACCAACTTTGAGCCTGCAGAGTGCATTTGAAGAAGTTAATGTACTAATCTCCCCAGTATGCCACTTTATTATGACTCAGGCAGTCAGAGGGCCAATAACTAAAATCAACCAATCAAAATGCTCTACTGCCGGTCAATATTCTCTCAGTATTGGACCAGGCACTGTCCCGAATGGTCCCGAATTATACCGCACTTGTGTCCCTTTGAACTTCAGTTGTATAATAAATCTCTTATTAACCAAGCTTACTCGGGACCGTACTGGAAGAATATCGGCGCTCGGCCTTTATTGTACAGACCTCGCTGCGCTTGATCCGTACTGTCAAGACCTCGGGCCAATATTCTCCCAGTACGGCCCTCGCGCTTGGTTAATAAGATATACGTATTATACTTCAAGAGTTTCAAAGTCAATTTCACCCTTCCTTTTAGCAACATACCCCTTTGGTTAGTACAATCTGAACTTAAAGCAACTAAATGAGCAATTATCTTTTTGTATTAGTATTGTGTACTTTTTTTAAGTTTCATGTCTGTGGGCTATCAGGAAGAATAAAATCTTTGACTCCAATTATACTCCTTTGTAAAAATAAATGTTTGTTGATGGGGTTGAGTGTTAAAGGCATAAAGGGTAAGAAACACAAGTAACAAAGTCATGATTGCACTAAGTTATACATTCCACTGGTTGGGAATATAGTGCAAGTTTTCCAAGCTAGATGCAATTCATAAAGAAGCTAAAACAAAAAGAACACAATCCACAAATACAGCAGCCACCAATTCAAATTTGCTCTTAACAAAGAAAAGCTGTAGGCCATTACCTGTTGAGGACAAGTGTAGTCAGAGCTTCACCATCAACATCTTCGGCAACAATAACAAGAGGTTTTCTGTGGGCATTAGCCAGCTCAAGAGCAGGAACAATCTGCTGAATTGAAGAAATCTTCTTCTGGCACAGGAGAACCAAACAATCCTGGAATTCAACCTTTTGTCCTACAAACCGACACAGATAAAGTCAAAATTTAGATTCCATGCAGAGATGGCAAGTTCAGGTTGAAGTTCTGGGCATAACAATAGTATTGAGTCCTGGGGAAAGCAAGTTTTCTATTGCACTCCCTTCCCTTCCCCCCAGAAGTGATTAACAAGCAACTTCTCCCTATAACATCCATTCATTATCCAGCAAACAGCTGAGGAGAATCCTTCAACTTATCAGATAGAAGTTGTTCACTACATCAACCATTAAATTCTTGTGACTAATTTATAATTTATAAGTGTGTAACAGCTAGAAGGGAGAATTAAAAATCAGATCTTGAGAGTCACACAATGAAATGATTAAACTGTTTAAATTAAAAATCCATGTCACAATCATTGAAGAGTTTCTCCACGTTCCCTTATCATGATTGTCAATGTTGATGATAAGAAAAATGGACCACCCCCCCCTGCGAAAAAAGATCTAAAATGAGAAAAAGAAAAACTTGTAATTGAGAGGTGAGTAATGTTTTTCAACAAACAAAGTGAGTGTTGTAGCACTAATGAGTCACTTCACAAATTTTCTGGCCACTTAGCAATTCAAATTATAACCGGTTTTATGCCATTACCTTCTCTTTCATGGAGGCGTATTCATAAAACAAACTTTAAAGATAATTCTCAAGATGAGTGAGTGGCCAAAATCTTTTCCTTTTTTAGTTTAACCCTCTCATTTCTCCTCTACACAACCATTTTAACAGGAACAAAAAATTTCTTACCTTTAGTAGTGTTGATAAAGTAAGGTGAAATGAATCCACGGTCAAACTTCATTCCTTCAATTAATTCCAACTCATCATACAGGGTCTTGCCATCCTTTTTTTTACAGAACAAAAATTAATTAATAAATCACCTTAGCTTACATTCCCATGTTTCTCAGTAAATAATATGAGATAAATTATTCAATAAATAGGGAACAAGTCAAATTAGGCAGTAACCTTAACAGTGATTACTCCATTCTTGCCAACTTTTTTCATGGCTGAAGAGATCAGTTCTCCAATGCCTTTGTCACCATTAGCAGAAATTGTTGCAACTTGAGCAATTTCTTCAGGAGTAGTCACTGGCTTGGACATCGTTTTCAGGTTTTCAACAATAGCTTCAACGGACAGCATAACACCTAAAAACAGACAAGTTGAACACAGGTATTAACTTTTACTCCTAGACATAAAAACGTTAGAATAGTCGATAAATTAACTTTAACTGCCATGAGTGACAGACCACGACTGAATTTCTCCTAACATTATCAAAAAACATCAAGCAGACAAGTGATGAGAATAAAAAAAAAAAAAAAAAAAAAAAAGTATTTTTATAGGATTACACAATTACTGGTGAACCAGTAGTTTCCATTGTGGTCCTTGCAAACAAATGAAACAAATGGTCTAAATTGAACATAACATCATTAAGAACATCATTAAGAACCCCAACCGGTCGGAGGCAAACCAGTTGGCTATTTACAAGCGTGGCCAAGGATCTGAACTCGGGGCTACCGTGAAACAGATCCAGTGGTCAGGGTGGGGGACCTGAGAATAAAGAAATAGGTCAATTAAGGGACTATTAATTGATCCAATACTTATAGTAACATCATAACAACCTTTGAAGTGAGCCTGTTCATGTGAGATTGTCTGCTGACTGAAAATGCCCGCAAAGCTTTTCTCCAACCACTTTGTTAACCTATCAGCTGCCTAAAGCAGAGTACACTTACCAAAGATTTAATGTTGTGCGGGAGGTCGAGGGTTCCAGCCCCGGCCGGACCAATATCCATGGTCTTAAAATAACTGAGGAGAATTTGCTACCTTTATAATATCAAGAAATGGATAGGTATCCTAAGTCTTCTCGGATAAGGACGAATAAACTGTAGGCCCAGTCTCCTGCAGGGTTAGGGGTAGGACACCTTAATTTGCCACGCACGAGATTACTGTGTGGTGGATGTCCTCCCCTTCCGGTGGGATGGGTGGGAGAATGGCCCTGAAAGTCCTATAGGGAGTGGTCAATTATCCTATGTATGTAACCTATGTATGTAATCCAGGAAATCAAGAGAGATCATTTTTTTTCTATGACATTCTCCTGGCAAAAACTCTGCTTAAAGGCATGTAACTTGAGAGAAACAAATGGGATTTAATTTTTTAGTCCCCCACCTTTCCTAACTTCCTGGGGATTTGATCCCTTGGACACAATCTCAAAGCCTTCTTTGGCAATGGACCTGGCCAAGACAGTTGCAGTTGTGGTACCATCTCCCGCCTCCTCATTAGTGTTATTGGCGACATCTTGCACAAGACGAGCACCAATGTTCTGATACCTGTCTTTCAGTTCAATGGCTTTGGCAACTGTAACACCATCCTTGGTGATCTTTGGGCCTCCAAAGCTTTGTTCAATTATAACATTTTTACCCTGTACAAAAAAAAAAATTGATGTCATAATGACTCAGAGGTCAAGCACAACCTCTCCTTACTATGTCAATATGTTACCTAGTACCCTGGAAATTAAAAAAAAAACACAAACTTTATCACCTATCAAGGTTATGTTCTATGAAAAATTGAAGGGAGCCCAGTGCTCTGAAACTGTGAAATCCAGGGTGCCCAGCATATGCTTTTTATGAAAAAAACTAAGATTCTTGAGTTGCCCCAGAGTAAAAGTAAGACACCAGGGACCAACAGGTGCTGCTAGACCATAGCAATACCTATGGTCTCGAGTTAAAGAGATATCAACTCTTAACCCTTTAACTCCCATAGGTGATCAAGACAGAATTTCTCCTTACAATATCAATACAATATCAAGTAAACAAGTAATGAGAATTGAGAAAAATATCAATTTAAAGACTATAACTTGATCCATTACCAAATTCTCCAAACTAGCATTATAAGAATTGTATAGCAACCTGTAAGGAGAATCGCTAATTTAATCACTAATTTAAATTAAATGAGATCTAAGGAGTGATAGACAGAATAGGGTCTCAGAATTTTTCTTAATCCATTGATACCACCTTTTTAATTCCTCAGCAAAGAAAACAAATCTGCAAAACTCAAAATTTGCCTTGCATCATCTAAGAAAGAAACATGTTCAAAAGGAATAGACTGAACTACTGTCCAACATGAAACCACAGTAACCCCATACCTTAGGTCCCAAGGTCACTGCAACAGCATCGGCCAAGGTGTCAACTCCTTTGAGCATATTGGATCTGGCATCAGCTCCAAACTTGAGCTCCTTGGCAGCTTGTTGTTGCTGTGAGGTGCTGAACCCGACAGCAAGCCGAGGGGCCAGTATTTTTGGAGTAAACAACTGTCTGGCTGGACGGATCGCACTTGATAGACGATACATTCTGAAGAAAAGTAAAGAAAAAAGAGACTGTTTTGAATATATGGAGAACTAGCTGGCAATAAAACATCTTTAAAAGTTTAAAGATCCTGCTGAGATTCCACAGACATGATTTCATAAACCCTTCAACTTCTGGGAGTGATTAACCCATAACTTCTCCCTAGAATATCCATACATTATCCAGCAAACATGTAATGAGAATACTTGACATTGTTACCGTGATCTAATACTAAATTATTGTAAGTAATTTCCAAGAAAATGTGAAGCAACTATTGGGCAGAATTAGCAATCTGCTCTTAGGAATTAAAGGGTCAAACCCCCAACGATATAAATTATTACCAAGACCTTTTCCAGATACAAAAAAATCTGCATTAAAAAGGTAAAATACTCTGCCATATTTACTTTAGATGATCTTCCAAAGATCTTGGCTTCCTAATTTATTTTCAGAGCACTAACGACGCCATGTGAAGACCTAGGTGTAACAAACTTAGCCAACCGCATAATTAAAATACATAACTGGTTAGCCATCTCTTCGCGTGGATTATGCAATCTACGGAAAAGTTGCACGGAAAAAAAAAATGAAGGATTTGTGTTTCAAATTAAAGTTCCGAGTAAACTGATGGTGGTGATATTTTCAGTCTCTAACAAAACTCTAACCGTTGGAGGAAATCCGACCTCTTTGTGAATTAAGAACAAAATTTCTACCAAGTGGTTACAAAGTTGTTCTTTTTAAATTTCCCGACGCATGTATGAAATATCTGAAAAAAATCCCGCCACGATACGAGGTAGGTAAGGATAAAATACGACCTTCAAGTGATATTTTTGCTAAAAGTCGTGGTTTTGTGGCGCAAAAATCGTGATTTCCAAAAAAAAAAATCACCGAAAGCACGTGTGCTGTTCACATGTATTTCACTGGGTCTGACATATTGCGAGAAATCGCTGTCATTTAAAATTTTTATCCATGTAAAATAAGCTAACACTGATCCAAAGACATACCTGAAGTATACTATTCAGCGATCAAGTGTTCGAAAATTGAAAGGAGCACGAAATTGTGCAAATTTCGAAATCCAACGGTGGAGGAGTGTGCCTTGCTAACCCACGTGCAGAAAAGGACGATGATGAGAACCTGCAATCGGCATGCTCCGTGCAGGAGCACTTTCTTCTTTCCAGGGGAGAGTACTCTATGAGCAATTTGAAATATTACAAACATTCCCAATACCTAGTATTTTGGCATTTTTCATATTTTAAGAAATTGAAAGTAATTCTTTACATCTTCAGAGGAATGAAATGATTTCTCTAAAAGAATATTTCGGAAGTATTTTGCTCATTCAAGAAGTGTGGTTCTAACGGTCCCCTCCCAAAAGTTAAAATGTGACACACCTCCTTGTGTAGTTGACGGCTGCGCAGTACAAGATTGATTTACACGTGTGGAGAATATTTTCCACGGCGTAGAGGCCTCGTGCTTTTTTTCCTGTGAAATGGTAAGTAATTCCTCATCTATTGATTGCAAACTTAAAATTTTGACGGAAATGAATTCTCATTTTCAGGATCTACAAATGTTTTAAATTTTATCTGTAAATTTGCGTGACGAAAGCCAATTTTGTACTGGGGCAGTTAGCAGTTAATGTGGTCAAAAGCAGTTCATTACGTGATCGTATATTTAACGCAAGGTTTTCCTCGTTTTCACTCTTGTGCGTATTAAACACAATTTTTTAAACCTCTTATTTTTAAAGAAAATATTTTTCGCCCTATTACCCCAATCTACGATTTCAACTTTATGCTGTGTGTGCGCAAGAGTTGACAGTATTGCATAAGAGATCTACCTTACGACACATGTGTTTTTTCTTTCCTCCAGGCTAATGTAAGAAAATTCAAGCCTCTCTTTGACAGGATCTTGGTAGAAAAATTCCTCCCAGAAGTGGTGAGAAGAAAGGGGATCTATTATATTTGTTCATACCATTGGCCATTTCTAAGCCCCCCCCACCCCACCCCTCTTCCCAAATGAGGCTAAGAACAAAATATATCTTGTTTAAATGAGGATGAAATATAATTTTCACAGTCATCAAAGGCTTCCCACATTTCCTTGTTCTGGCCTATGACATTCCTTGGTCTGTTGTTGCACATCTCTTTTACGCATAACATTACAGGTGACCAGTATGCACACATCAAAAATGGTAAGGGAAGGTTCATGAGGAGGGATGGTGGATGGGAGAGGAGAGTAGGGAATGAAGGGGCATTAGTGATGGGGTGCAAGGCCATGCTCAAAGGAGAATTGAACGTAGCCCAGTGCTCTGAAACTGAAATCTAGAGAGCCCAGCATCTGCTTTGTATGAAAAAACTAAAATTCCTGAGTCCCCCAAGAGCAAAAGTAAGGGGTCAGGGGCCACTGGGTGCTTCTAGACCACAGCCTTGGGGTGAAGGCTCATGAAATGTAAAAGTTTGATAGGAAGGTTCAAAGGGAGTTAGGTTTTGCCTGGGAAATCCCCAGACCAAGGTTAACTTATATAATTATTGGAGGAGCTGCAGAGATTGAAAATCAGCAAAGGTTTGAGGAAGTTTTCTCTCTAACCAAGAGCTTGGAAAATGCAGAAATTGAGTCCCACTGTTGCTGTTTCAAAATTTAAGTACTGATAAATTGCTATTTGGCAAAGTTAGTTTTTACTGTAGGTATGCATGCAGATACTGTTCATGATGGCAACTGATGTTTGACTCCTTACTTTCTACAGAAAACAAAAGGAGGTGTTCTTCTTCCAGAGAAAGGTCAAGGCAAAGTACTAGAGGGTACAGTTGTGGCTGCTGGCCCTGGAAACTGGGATCACAAGGTAATAGCCTGTTTCTTGCTAGCAAAATGAAATAAATTATGACAGCTAGTCAATTGTTCTTGAAATAGGATCATGCTGGCTGCACTCTTTTATATCCCAGTCAGTATCTTTGCTCTCCTCTTAGTCCTTTGACCCTTAAAAAGAGGTTAGCATCTATTTCTTGACACATTTTGTCACCAAACATCAACGCCCTTAGGAAAAAGGAAAAGATCGCCAACTAAAGAAACTCTTGATCATTAAACAAATTCTTGTTGTGAGCACCTTTGGAAATGAGTAGAGAACAGTATGGAGAATATGCATGCTGATGTCAGGGTGTAGAGGGTTAAACAAAATTACTTTGTTTTGTTTTTAGAACAACCAAAGGGTAGAAGTTAACGTCAAGGTTGGAGACAAGGTCTTACTACCAGAATATGGAGGAACAAAAATAAATTTAGATGAAAAGGTAGGTGTTGTTGATGTTGGTTAGGCTCTTCCTTTTCGTTCATCTTTCTTTCGTTCATCCTTTTCATTAGCTCATCTTTCAAACCGGCAGTCTAAATCCCACAGGTATCGACGAACGCTTTTCATTCCACTAATTTATTCATGTTTTTCTCATTGCCACGTTCCCACCAATCACGTAGCTCCTTTTTCTGCCTTTAAAAGCACACACAACCCACAATTCCCCTATTTGCTCTGACGAAGGGCTAACGTTTGAAACATCAGCTTTTATAATTGTAACGGTGGCCAATTTACCATTTCAACTTTACTGATATATTTAAATTATTTCGTTACTCCCACCGATGCAGCCCCAAACAGTTTCTTTAGAAACTATCAGCCTTTGTTCCTTTTCGTGTTGGCTGAAATAAAGTGTTACCATCTTATCAAATGATCTGTCTGGCTCCACATGTACAATCTCAGAGAAAAGCATATTGAAAGTTGACTTTTGTAGGGCTAGATGAGTTGACAGGAGCCAGCCAGTCTGAAAAAAGTTGTCGCACTGCACATGCATGTCTGTTTTGCATATTCTGAGAACTTGAATTGAAAGTGTGGATATCAACTTGAAATAAAACAAATGAGAAAATGAATCATGCTTCTCAATACATGATGAGTGTCTTTTTCTGAGTCAAAGAAAATAAGGGGAAAGTTTTTGTGTAATTTGTCTAGCAGTTATCCAGTATGTACCCTTCTCTGGTATTCAGTTTGTCCTATCTAGGTTGAAACAAAATCTTTGTGGTTGTCTGATAAATTGCTTATCGACTGAGTCGGGCCGGTGGGAAAATATAGGGCTCTTGGTCGTGCTATGCATGGTCCATACATTGTGACATTGAGCCAGATATTTTTTGTGCAGCCCTCCCAGTCAGTCAATTAGGGCATTATACGAAGTTGCAGTAAATGCAGGACACATTCTACAGTTATTAGTATCAACTAACAGGAACACTCTTTTCTAAACAGGAATACTTCATCTACCGTGACACTGATATCTTGGGGATTTTTGAGTAATGCCAGCTTCTATTTGATTGTGTAGTAGTGGCGCTGCTGGAAAAGAAAAGAATCACATGCTTGGAAATCACCGTAACTTATTGATAAACTGTGAAATAACTGGTACTGTTAATGATTGTCAAGTACAGTGTTCTCTTGCTAATCCTCTTTTTTGGACTTCTCTTCTCAACTCAGGACAGGCTTGCAACCACTTTTTCTGTATTGGCAACAAAATTTTAAGACAGTCTAGCTAGGTATTCTTTTTATAAATAATATTTGTAATAAGCAAAATGCTCATTAATTTTGGTCAAGTACACTTTGTTTGCTTTTTGAGTGGGTTGAATAAACTCTGTGTGCATGCAAATAAATTATGCTATAGCTTGTGGCAAAGTCAGTTATTGCACTGTGTAAGAGTTTGATCTCAATAAATTTTTGGTGTCGTAAAATGTGTCTTATTTTGCTAGTTGTTTCTTGGTTGTTGGGAAGGCTGCAAAGACTTTGAAAGATTAGACTGACATTCTTCAAAGTGACCCAAATGCTTTGGACCATGTACTGATCAAGTGTCAAAAGTAATCCACAGCTATAGTTAGTTTTGCTGTGCTGCATCCCGAGATTTTTGCAAAATGTCTTCTAATTTGCATCGCCCTGCCCAGTCAACTATACTTCTGATAATACCACAATGTGAGTTGGAAAATAAATTGATGCACTGATATGAGGGGCAAGTTTTTATTTGGGAAAGTTTGTGCAACATATACAAAATTCCAATAATTTCAAGAACTTTGGACTTAAATTGTGACAAGATTACAGTCTGATATCGAATTATCTATTACTTTATAGGCACACAAGGTGCTAACATCCCTTCGTCATTCAGTCCATATGCTGTCACCACCTATAATTCACTCTTAAATACCTGAGTATGTTTTGTTTTGGTGATAAAAAGTGCAGTCAAAAGTATCCATAATACTAAATAATCCAAAACAATTTTTCCTGTAATAAACTTAATTACCGTACTTTTTATTTTCAGTAGAAGCACACAAAAGAGAGTTTGGAGAGAAGAAAATGAAAATTAGAAAACAAATCTAAACACAGCACTGGGTGTTTTACTATTGCAGTTCCTTTTTCTTTATGCAGGCCAGCAGCAAAGATCCATATTTTGTTTTGAAAGTATTTGTAGTTGCCTATGAAGCAGCAACAGCTTTTTTGAGCAGTTCTGTCGTCATACTCTTGGGGCGTTCAATTGGGAGACCCAAAGCTCGAGACCACACTAGTGAGGAAAGTACACCCAAGGCACGTGATACACCAAACAGGACGGTGTAGTAGTTCATTTCCACCAAACCATAGTGCTGGAATCAAAACAAAGGATAAAAAAAGTTACCATGTCTTTACAGAAATGGACCCTATCAATTTCATATAATTGTTTAAATGCATCAATTTCATATAATTGTTTAAATTAACCGCCTCCTGGTTAGCTCAATTGGTTAGAGCGCCAGATTGTGTTGTGCGGGAGGTCAAGGGTTCGAGCCCCAGCTGGACTGATACTCGTGCTCTTAAAATAAGTGAGGAGAATTTGCTACCTTTCTATAATCAAGAAATGGATAGATATCCTAGTCTTCTCAGATAAGGACAAATAAACCATAGGCCCCGTCTCCTGCAGGGTTAGGGGTAGGAGACGTTAATTTCCCACGCACGAGATTACTGTGTTGTGGATGTCCTCCCCTAGGG